AATACACACTAACAAACAAAGCTGTGCAGGGTTGTCAACAATGTGTGGCTAACTTGCAGGTGCAACTATCAAAATAACAGCACACAGGAATTACTTGCAAACTGTATATGAAAGTTAATTGTATAAATGGTTAACACTGAACAATTTAAGTCAGTGACAACTGAGGTGCAAGATGCAGAATAATATGCTGGAATTTAAAGTGCAGGAGTGCAAAATAAATGTACAAAATTTAAGAAGCTATAGGTAAGTGGCAAAATGTACAAAGTGTACACTGATGACTAAAACTGAACAATTTACTGAAAGTATGGCTTCAGTGACAACTGTATTGGTGCTGGACAGTTAAATAATGTCACAGAATATTAGGAAATGCTAGGTAAGTCACTGTTTACTTAACTTTGAGTGCAGGAGATGGGCGAAGGTACTGGGTGCTGCAGGTCCTGAAACTTTCGGTGATGCACTGGTAACACTACACGCCTCGTAGCATTTGTACACTGCTATGGGGCTTCAATGACGTAGGAAAAATTATCAGAATGGACTTGGGAAGAACATGGAAGGCCGGAGAACTCTGTGAAGGTAGAACATATAAGAAAATGTGGCTAACTCGGCGTGAGCCACCGCGGTGCGTGGTTTGTTTACACTGGCAAGCATGTCTGGGCGCACTGACTGACTGCGGCTTCAGCACACTGAGAACAAAACACGTACTGCACTACATAAACATGCTAAAAAAAAACTTAGGTGAAGCTATGAACTGGTACGAGGAGGTTTTACTGTAACTATGCACTGGGAAAAATCAAGAACTGGTGATGAACTGGGAATGTAACAGCAAGGAAAGAAAAAAAAAATTTAACTGGGCAACACAAAAAAAAAAAAATTGCACTGGTTGTAAACACAATGATGAGTCACGAACTGCTGTAGAAGGTGTGGGGGCTGAACTGGGCTGGCTTAGGGGCTGAGCCAACTGGGTCCCCATGTGGTTAAGCCAGGTAGAACTTCTTGGAGGAAACTGCGAGGAACACAACACACACAGACGACGAGATGGACGTAGTTGCATATCCGGGAAGGTGATAGGAGGAGGTGGGTGTGTACATGCAGTCTAGGGTATAAACCAACCCCAGAGCTGCCTCATGGTCACGCATGGAGCCACGCAAAGCCAACACACTAAAATGACCTCACCTCTACTTCTTGTATCTGAGAAAGGCGTAAGGACGCTGTAGGAGGCAGGAGAAGGGTGCTGGAGAGTGTTGAAGGGCTGTAGAGGGTGATGAGGTGAACAAGTGACTGCTAAGGCCGGAGATAACGCCGTGATGCCTATGTCCAGATTTTGTGGGGAAAATCTAGGACGAAGATCTATCTCAGGCCCCGTCAAGACACTGGGAGTAACAGATAACTCCTTAGGCCAGCAGGTGCATTGGATGACGACTGATGATGTTGACTGGCGTCGACCCCTCCACCCCGAGAGTAGGCTCACAGTGCCGTTGACTCCGCTGTCACCACTGTTATTACTGTTCTTGCTGTTGAACAACGGTTTAGTGCTGATGGAGGTAGCGTAGGTAGCAGTGATACAGCCGGGGACTAGTTTGGCTTTAATTGGATAGGAGTGAGTACACAACGGGCAATGTGAGGGAATGACCGATAGCCAGTCCGTGGAGGGGAGCACTTGTACCTCTCAAGTCACTCGGCCGGGAAGTGAGACCGAATGGGCCCAGCATCCCACTGACCGCGAAATATGAACTAAGCTGGCCAAAGGCATAGGCTGTCTGTACTGACAGTACAGGCTGTCTACACTAAGAAGGAGGGTACCTAACTTACAAGGAAGGTACCTAACTTACAAGGAAGGTACCTAACAAGCATTTCTCCATGTCTGATGTGATAAAACATATTGAAACAAATCTAATAAAAAACTAGTGTACATAATGTTAAACATTAATTTTTATTTTTTATTAAAACATCGGCCGTTTCCCACCAAGGCAGGGTGGCCTGAAAAAGAAAAACTTTCATCATCATTCACTCCATTACTGTCTTGCCAGAGGTGTGCTTACACTACAGTTATAAAACTGCAACATTAACACACCACCTTCAGAGTGCAGACACTGTACCCCGCCATCTCCAGGGCTCAAGTCCAGCCTGCCGGTTTCCCTGAATCCCTTCATAAATGTTACCTTGCTCGCACTCCAACAGCACGTCAAGTATTAAAAACCATTTGTCTCCATTCATTCTCATCATATACGCTCACGCATGATCGCTGGAAGTCCAAGCCTCTTGCACATGAAACCTCCTTGACTGCCTCCCTCCAACTTTTCCTAGGCCAACCCCTACCCTGTCTTCCCTCCACTACAGATTTATACACTCTCAAAGTCATTCTTTTTCGTTACATCCTCTCTACATGTCCAAACCACCTCAACAATCCCTCCTCAGCTCTCTGGATAATAGTTTTGGTAATCCCATACCTCCTCCTAATTTCCAAAGTACAAATTCTCTGCATTATATTTGCACCACACATTGCCCTTAGGCATGATGTCTCCACTGCCTCCAGTTTTTTCCTTGTTGTATCATTCACCACCCATGCTTCATACCCATATAAGAGCATTGGTATAACTATATTCTCATACATTCCCCTTTTTGCTTCCACGGACAAAGTTCCTTGTCTCCACGGACTCCTAAGTTCACTACTCTCCCTTTTCCCCCTCATCAGTTCTTTGATTCACCTCATCCTTCACAGACCCGTCTGCTGACACGTCCACTCCTAAATAGTATCTGAATACATTCACCTCCTCCATACTCCCTCCCTCCAATCTGATATCCAATCTTTTATCACCTAAATTTTTTATTATCCTCATCACCCTACTCTTTTCTATATTCACTTTCAATTTTCTTCTTTTACATACCCTACTAGACTCGTCCACTAATCTCTGTAACTTCTCTTCAGAATCTCTCAAAAGCACAGTGTCATCAGCAAAGAGCAACTGTGACAACTCCCACTTTGTGTTAGATTCTTTATCTTTTAACCCCACACCTCTTGCCAAGACCCTCGCATTCACTTCTCTTACAACCGTATCTATAAATATATTAAACAACCATGGTGATATCACACATCTCTGTCTAAGGCCTGCTTGTACTGGAAAATAATCTCCCTCTCCTATATACTTGAACCTGAGGGGTAATATTAATATCTGTAGAAAGTTGGTGATTGAACAATAATGGTGTAAATGTATATTGTTCCAGTACATTGTAAAACCTAATAAACACATAGTGAAATCTTCTTCTTTCAACAAACTGGCCATATCCCACCAAGGCAGGGTGACCCAAAAATAAAAACAAAAGTTTCGCTTTTTAACTTTAGTAATGTATACACAGAGAAGGGGTTACTAGCCCCTTTCTCCCGGCATTTTAGTCACATCTTACAACATGCATGACTTATGGAGGAAGAATTCTGTTCCACTTCCCCATGAAGATAAGAGGAAATAAACAAGAACAAGAACTAGTAAGAAAATAGAAGGAAACCCAGAGGGGTGTGTATATATATGCTTGTACGCACACATGTAGTGTGACCTAAGTGTAAATAGAAGTAGGAAGACGTACCTGAAATCTTGCATGTATGTGAGACAGAAGAAAGACACCAGCAATTCTACCATCATGTTAAACAGTTAAAGGCCTCCATTTTACATTCACTTGGCAGGATGGTAGTACCTCCCTGGGTGGTTGCTGTCTACCAACCTACTACCTAGGATATAGTGAAATAGTAGTAATAAAATATAATGAATTATTAAGACTAGGTATATCAGTAGCACCTCTCAGTTATTGTAGTAATGCTATAATTAACTGTATACAGTAAATGGTAAAAAAAAAAGTTTTAAACCAGTAGTCCTACCTAACTTTGGATTGTATTGCACTATGTCTGTTATAGACTGCACACACTAGACAGTAAAAAAAATATAGTTCTTTACTAAGGGAGGGCGGTAAAAGATAGTTACAATTATTAAAAAATAGAATTGTATACCATTTTAGGCAAACAAGATGGTGATCATGAGGTGTCTAACAAGAGTATAAACTATAAGATAGTGATAGGACAGTTTAGACAATTCACTGCTGTCAGATTAAAAATATAGTAATGAAAATTACGTTTTATAGAAAATAATTGGATAAAAATTGAGGTTTCGTAACACTACTCATGGAAAGTGGGTACAAACTGCATTTTATTCTGACTCAGTTTGCCCAGCATCACTTAGGAATTTTTGTAGTTCATATTCGGTAGAAATGAAATATCTCCTTCCTGTTGATTCCTTCTTGACTGCAATTTTCCCATCTCTTGCAAAGCAGTGGTAGATTTTTCAGTTGTATCATAGCTTTCTTAGTCTATAGAGGAAATTTTGTCTTATTTTGGCCAAGTACTTGTTGACATAAACATCTCTTTTCATATTAATAGATGCCCTTAATGTGTCATTTCTTTGTGAGCTCGAGTTGAACTTTGGTATCATTTATTTCTTCCCAGTTTGATAACCTCTCACTTTACACTCCTTGATATCATCACTAGGTATGTTGAGATGAAGATGGTCTTGGATAAGTTGTAAGGTGGTTTGTTTGTATGTTTCTTGAGTTAGTTGGTGGTAGAATGGATGAATTCCACTGTTAGTATTATAAAACTGTAATAAATTTGGACTAAATAAGTCATCTTTGTGCCACTTGCACACAGTTTGTTGGTAGGTCAGGCTGGTAGTGGAACAACAGCTCCTGGTGCCTTTGTTTACTTTTGTTTGTTAGACATACTAGTTCATTGGCCATACATTCATCACTTTATTTTTTCAAATGTATGAATAGATGGAAGAAGATTCGAAGAATTGTGGTGAGGTTAAAAATATTGGCAGGTGGCACATTCGAAGCCTAGAAATATATTGTGTACTAGTACAGTGGACACACTGTAGGCATCTGCATACTAGTAAGTTGAACACACTTAAAGGGTTAATATACAAAAGTTGCCACTACTGAAATAAAACTTTGTACAGGTTGATCGTTCAGTTACTGGTCTGGTGGCACGTCAGCAGTGTGTTGGACCACTACACACTCCCCTGGCAGATGTTGCAGTTACAGCTGCCTCGTATTTCAGCAAGGTCAGTTGCTAGTTCACTTGTCTTGACAAAAAGTGCTAAAGTGATTTGGTTAAAATTTAGTTATCAGATTGGTTTAAAAGATAAATTGTAGTTATTTGGTAACATTATTGTGTATCTTCTGTTACAGCTTCTTGCCTCTGTATGGCACAAGAATAAACTAATAAAATATGCAACTAATTATGAAATTATCTTCCTAATTAGCCTTTAAATAATCTAAGACTAAAATTATTTAAAATATTACTTTAATATAGAGGATCATACAACCCTGGGGTGTAATATTCCTTCAGTATAGAGGATCATACAACCCTGGGGTGTAATATTACTTCAATATAGAGGATCATACAACCCTGGGGTGTAATATTACTTCAATATAGAGGATCATACAACTCTGGGGTGTAATATTACTTCAATATAGAGGATCATACAACTCTGGGGTGTAATATTACTTCAATATAGAGGATCATACAACCCTGGGGTGTAATATTACTTCAGTATAGAGGATCATACAACCCTGGGGTGTAATATTACTTCAGTATAGAGGATCATACAACCCTGGGGTGTAATATTACTTCAGTATAGAGGATCATACAACCCTGGGGTGTAATATTACTTCAATATAGAGGATCATACAACTCTGGGGTGTAATATTACTTCAGTATAGAGGATCATACAACCCTGGGGTGTAATAATGTTACATAGTATAGAAGACCATACAACCTCAGGGTGTAAATAATGTTATATAACTGTTATGAATATACAGTTAATGAAATGTCATTTTTATGGCTGCCTCAGCATTGATAACATTCATAATTAATACTGCTTGTTATTGAGCTGGAGACTACAGCAACTGTGTATTGACAGGAAGGCACAGCAACAAGTATTGGTGAGCAGCCCATCAAGATGCTGGTGTGTCCGGCTGCAGGTGCCAGACTCACAGTCTTGGAAGCCTTGGCTAACCTGGTCGCTGCTCCACTTTCCTGCCTTAAAGTCTGTTTATTATTCTTCCATCAAGTTTATCTTTTACTGAAGAATAATTGTTCATGAACTTAAATAAGGATAGATTACTTTATACAGATACTTCTAATAGTAATTTTTTATTGATGGAATAAATCATAACTGAAGAGAAGAAAAAGTTTTATGATAAACAACTAAAAATAGTAGTCTTCATAGGTAGTCAATTATCAGTCAGTTTGCTAGTTAACTCTGTCAGTTTGGACTAACATTTTATAGCTTGCCTCACTTGACCCCTACAACTTAATATAATAAATAGTCTATGATCTTGCTGTCATTTGTAACTTCTTCTATTATATTAATTTCCTGCTCAAAGTTTCTTGCATGTTAAGTGAAACAATAATGTCTGGGTTAAGATACATCATTCAAGACATTTATTAACCCCTTCACTCTCAGAATTCCCAAAATTATTAGTGCTCAGCATTTAAAAAAAAAAATTCTGAAATGGTAGAGAATCTTTTCCTGAAGGTAATGATGCTAAAAGTAAGAAATATGATAGAAAGTTTATGGAATTATGCAGGTACAATTTAACCCAGTTTTTTTATATGGTGCACACTCGCTGCATAGACCTATTGTCTCATATATATTCCAAAATTTATCGCTCACAGCTTATCTGACTGAGCTGAGCTCATGCCACATTTCTGTAGCACTGACCCCTCAATGGGTTGATTGCATTCCCAGGCCTCTCCTATATTACACTTGCCTTACATTTTGAAGTTGTCATTACACACAAAAAAATCAAAGATTTACCTTACTTCTTGGATAAAATATAATTAGAAATGATTGGTCATGGTTTATGGCCCAATAATTGAATCAGACCTAATAAAAACCCATAAAACAGACCAGGGGAAATTGGAAAATTGGAAAAAATCATATATTTCTGCTGCAGTGAAAGGGCTAAGGGTAATATCACCATACATTTACTGCTCTGAAATAGTAATGTGTATAAGTTCTTAAATAGTCGCCTTAGTGTTGATGCAATATATAGGATGTGAAGTGCTCAGCCAACTGGATGTGGGCAGCCAAGCTACCAGGCGAGGGTTGGGCGCTGTATCAAGCTTGTGAGGCAATGTGTGAGATCATGAAGAGTGTTGGTGTGGCTGTGGACGGTGGCAAGGACTCCCTCAGTATGGCTGCTAGAGTGCCAGGGAAAGATGGTGCCAGCAGTGTAGTGAAGGCTCCAGGGTCGCTGGTGGTGTCTGCCTATGCTCCCTGTCCTGATGTGACAAAGGTCAGTATTACACATCATTAAATTGTCTTCTGTGTAATGTTGAGTGTGAACACTGATTGTGATCAGAATATAGATAAAACCCTAGTTTAGTTATAACTGCTTTACTTACAGGGTTTTTAAGTTATATCTCTCATATATAACTGACAAAAATAAAATTTTACTTTCCAGAGGAAAATATGTAAAATTATATTTTGTACTGTAAATTTATGAGTGAATTTAACAGATAACTTGGTCAAGCATAAGCCTTGGTGGCTGGTACTAACAAACTGGTTTAGAAAGTCTCGTGAGCAAACACTAGGACAATATTTATTAAAAAACATTTTGGTCCTGGAACCTTCATCACTTCTAACATGCACAGGTTGAAAATAATGCTATATATAGACAGAAATTTCGGTGAGTCAGTGACCTGAAAAATCCAAGTGAGACTTAAGATGAGATTAGGTAGACGATGAGGTCAAATGATTCCTGTATTAGAAAGGTTACGTTTTGCCTGGGTGAAAAATTTGTGTGTGTGTGTGTGTGTGTGTGTGTGTGTGTGTGTTGTGTGTACACTCACCTAGTTGAGGTTGCAGGGGTCAAGTCCAAGCTCCTGGCCCCGCCTCTTCACTGGTCGCTACTAGGTCACTCTCCCTGAGCTTTATCATACCTCTGCTTAAAGCTATGTATGGATCCTGCCTCCACTACATCGCTTTCCAAACTATTCCACTTCCTGACTACTCTGTGGCTGAAGAAATACTTCCTAACATCCCTGTGATTCATCTGTGTCTTCAACTTCCAACTGTGTCCCCTTGTTGCTGTGTCCCATCTCTGGAACATCCTGTCTGTGTGTGTGTGTGTGTGTACTCACCTATTTGTACTCACCTATTTTTGGTTGCAGGGGTCGATTCATAGCTCCTGGCCCAGCCTCTTCGCTGATTGCTACTAGGTCCTCTCTCTCCCTGCCCCATGAGCTTTATCATACCTCGCCTTAAAACTATGTATGGTTCCCGCCTCCACTACGTCACTTTCTAGGCTATTCCACGGCCTGACTACTCTATGACTGAAGAAATACTTCCTAACATCCCTTTGATTCATCTGAGTCTTCAACTTCCAATTGTGACCTCTTGTGTCTGTGTCCTTTCTCTGGAACATCCCGTCTTTGTCCACCTTGTCTATTCCGCTCAGTATTTTATATGTCGTTATCATGTCTCCCCTGACCCTCCTGTCCTCCAGTGTCGTCAGGCCGATTTCCCTCTACCTTTCTTCGTAGGACAATCCCCGTAGCTCTGGGACTAGTCTTGTTGCAAACCTTTCCACTTTCTCTAATTTCTTGACATGCTTTACTAGGTGTGGATTCCAAACTGGTGCTGTATACTCCAGTATGGGCCTGACGTAAATGGTATACAGAGTCTTGAACGAATCCTTACTGAGGTATTGGAACGCTATCCGTAGGTTTGCCAGGCGCCCGTATGCTGCAGCAGTTATCTGATTGATGTGCGCCTCAGGAGATATGCTCGGTGTTATACTCACCCCCAGATCTTTTTCCTTGAGTGAGGTTTGCAGTCTTTGGCCATCTAAACTATATTGTGTCTGCGGTCTTCTTTGTCCTTCCCCAATCTTCATGACTTTGCATTTGGTAGGGTTAAACTCAAGGAGCCAGTTGCTGGACCAGGCTTGTAGCCTGTCCAGGTCTCTTTGTAGTCCTGCCTGATCCTCATCCGATTTGATTCTTCTCATTAACTTCACATCATCTGCAAACAAGGACACTTCTGAGTCTATCCCTTCTGTTATGTCGTTCACATATACCAAGAACAGCACAGGTCCTAGGACTGAACCCTGTGGAACCCCGCTTGTCACAGGTGCTCACTCTGACACCTCGTCACGTACCATGACTCGTTGTTGCCTCCCTGTCAGGTATTCTCTGATCCATTGCAGTGCCTTTCCTGTTATGTGTGCCTGATCCTCTAGCTTTTGCAGTAACCTCTTGTGAGGAACTGTGTCGAAGGCCTTCTTGCAGTCCAAAAAAATGCAGTCGATCCACCCCTCTCTCTCTTGTCTTACTTCTGTCACCTTGTCATAAAACTCTAGTAGGTTTGTGACACAGGATTTTCCTTCCCTGAAACCATGCTGGTTTCAATTATACACCACTCTCCTCCTGATGATCTTCTCCATGACCTTGCATACTATACACGTTAGTGATACAGGTCTGTAGTTTAGTGCCTTATGTCTGTCTCCCTTTTTAAAAATTGGGAATATATTTGCCATCTTCCATACCTCAGGGAGTTGCCCAGTTTCAAATGATGTGTTGAAGATCTTTGTTAATGGCACACACAATATCTCTGCTCCTTCTTTAAGGACCCACGGAGAGATGTTGTCTGGTCCCACCGCCTTTGAGGTGTCAAGTACGCATAGCAGCTTCTTCACCTCCTCCTTGGTTATATGTACCTCATCCAGCACTTGCTGGTGTACCCCCTTTTCTGATTTCCTGGAGTCCTACTGGTTTCCACTGTAAATACTTCTTTAAATCTCGTGTTGAGCTCCTGACATACCTCTCGATCGTTTCTTGGGAATTCCCCATCACTCTTCCTCAGTCTGATTACCTGGTCCTTGACTGTTGTTTTCCTCCTGATGTGGCTGTACAACAGCTTCGGGTCAGTCTTTACTTTTGATGCTATGTCATTTTCATATTGTCGCTGAGCCTCCCTTCTTATCTGTGCATATTCGTTTCTGGCTCTATGGCTAATCTCTTTATTTTCCTGAGTTCTCTGTCTTCTGTACCTTTTTCATTCTCTAGTACACCTAGTTTTTGCCTCCCTACACCTTTGGGTGAACCAAGGACTCGTTCTGTTCTTCCTGTGTGTGTGTGTGCGTGAGTGCGTGCGTGCGTGTGCATGCATGTGCGTGCGCGCATGCGTGCGCCTGCGCCTTTCAGTATTATGTTGAATGGCAATGGTGACAGTGGCAGACAGTATTGGTGTGACAGTGTTTAGTGAGGCTTCTAGACATCATCAGCATCTAAGATCTATGAACATGAGTTGTGCCTCATTTCAATTCATCAAATGTCCCGTGGAGTTCCTGTGGAGGACACACACATGCTTTAAGTTGTGATAAATGCTTTAGAAAACTGAAAACTTTAAGTTGTCTCTGTTGCTGGCATTTCATTGTTAATTTATGTAGACTGAAAGATTTCTTCCTGTTTTCTCTACATATTTCTTGGGACAGTTAGAGGTGTAGGGACTATACTTTGTAGTGAGGTCTCTGATAGAGGATGTGTTTATACTGTTAACACTTTATATTTCTTCTAGCAAGTGCCTGGTGAGTATTCTTGGCAAAATCACATGGGAGGACTATGAACTGCTTAGAGGACTGTTTCCTGGGGGATTTGTTAACCCCTTGACTGTCACAACCCCCAATCCTGAGGTGTCTCCTGGTGTCACAAAATTTAAAAAAAAAAAATTATTTTTTTCTTATGAAATGATAGAGAATCTTTTCCCGATTGTAATGACACCAAAAAAACGAAATTTGATGGAAACCTGACGGAATTACGCGCTTGTGAATTTAGCGACCTTGGCGATATTTACAAATTGGTGATTTCACCCACTTTGAACCCAATTTTCGGCTAATTCCATTGTTCCAGTCGACCAAACTCATAGCTATTTCTTTAGAACTCAAAAATCACTTTATTTCTATGATATGTTTTCCATTGAAAGAATTAAGAGTAAGACGGAGAATAGGATAGCAGATGAACAAGGAGGCTTTAGGAAAGGTAGGGGGTGTGTGGACCAGGTGTTTACAGTGAAACATATAAGTGAACAGTATTTAGATAAGGCTAAAGAGGTCTTTGTGGCATTTATGGATTTGGAAAAGGCGTATGACAGGGTGGATAGGGGGGCAATGTGGCAGATGTTGCAAGTGTATGGTGTAGGAGGTAGGTTACTGAAAGCAGTGAAGAGTTTTTACGAGGATAGTGAGGCTCAAGTTAGAGTATGTAGGAAAGAGGGAAATTTTTTCCCAGTAAAAGTAGGCCGTAGACAAGGATGTGTGATGTCACCGTGGTTGTTTAATATATTTATAGATGGGGTTGTAAGAGAAGTAAATGCGAGGGTCTTGGCAAGAGGCGTGGAGTTAAAAGATAAAGAATCACACACAAAGTGGGAGTTGTCACAGCTGCTCTTTGCTGATGACACTGTGCTCTTGGGAGATTCTGAAGAGAAGTTGCAGAGATTGGTGGATGAATTTGGTAGGGTGTGCAAAAGAAGAAAATTAAAGGTGAATACAGGAAAGAGTAAGGTTATGAGGATAACAAAAAGATTAGGTGATGAAAGATTGAATATCAGATTGGAGGGAGAGAGTATGGAGGAGGTGAACGTATTCAGATATTTGGGAGTGGACGTGTCAGCGGATGGGTCTATGAAAGATGAGGTGAATCATAGAATTGATGAGGGAAAAAGAGTGAGTGGTGCACTTAGGAGTCTGTGGAGACAAAGAACTTTGTCCTTGGAGGCAAAGAGGGGAATGTATGAGAGTATAGTTTTACTAACGCTCTTATATGGGTGTGAAGCGTGGGTGATGAATGTTGCAGCGAGGAGAAGGCTGGAGGCAGTGGAGATGTCATGTCTGAGGGCAATGTGTGGTGTGAATATAATGCAGAGAATTCGTAGTTTGGAAGTTAGGAGGAGGTGCGGGATTACCAAAACTGTTGTCCAGAGGGCTGAGGAAGGGTTGTTGAGGTGGTTCGGACATGTAGAGAGAATGGAGCGAAACAGAATGACTTCAAGAGTGTATCAGTCTGTAGTGGAAGGAAGGCGGGGTAGGGGTCGGCCTAGGAAGGGTTGGAGGGAGGGGGTAAAGGAGGTTTTGTGTGCGAGAGGCTTGGACTTCCAGCAGGCATGCGTGAGCGTGTTTGATAGGAGTGAATGGAGACAAATGGTTTTTAATACTTGACGTGCTGTTGGAGTGTGAGCAAAGTAACATTTATGAAGGGATTCAGGGAAACCGGCAGGCCGGACTTGAGTCCTGGAGATG